ACACACACACACACACACACACACACACACACACACACACACACACACACACATGTTTTTCGAGACAGGGTTTCTCTGTGTAGTTTTGGTGCCTGTCTTGGATCTCGCTCTGTAGACCAGGCTGGCCTCGAACTCACAGAGATCTGCCTGGCTCTGTTTCCCCGAGTGCCAGGATTAAAGGCGTGCGCCACCACTGCCCAGCTGTGGTGGGGGTAAATATTTTTGAGACATGATCTTGCTCTGTAGCCCTGGCTGGCTTGGTAATCTGTATGTAGCCCAGACAGGCCTTGAACTCATGAAGATCCTCCTGTCACAGTTTTCTGAGTGCTAGGATTACAGACTTGTACTACCAGGCCTAGTTGAGTTACGTGTCTAAATAACATAAAAAACTTGGTTAAAAAACAAAACAAAACTCCATTGAATATTTCACGGTAAAAAAATATAAAAGATTCATGCAAAGAATGAAGTCTATAGTAACAGTCATAAATCACCAGTGACTGGCCGATGTCTGCAATCCTCGATTCTTAAATGCCAGTCGTCTTTCCTGCCACAGGTGATTACAGGCAAACACATCCGACACTGCCATGAATCTGCCACTCCCGACCTGCTCTCTCAGAGAACGGAGTCGCTCCTGCTGAGTGCTCTAAGACAGGGGCAACCAGCATTCAGACGGAGCAAGCTGACCACGGGCTGTGAGTACAGCAGACTTCGAACCTGAAATCTTGACTAGGCTGCTGTACTTCTGTTACCCCGGGCAGCCCAGTTCAGTGACCAACCCCCGAGGACCCACTGTGTGCTGGCTCTGTTCTACCACTCCTTTTGTTAAAACATGTCTAACAGTCTTTGTCAGGATCCCTTGATACAGCACAGTTGCAGATGAAAGAAATGGGGATTATTTTAATTGTAAAGTAATGCTCAGAGCCTGTGAAGAACGACCTCCTAAGGTGACATCATTACCCCGTGCACCCTAACAATGCCCTGTGCGTGTGTGCAAACGTTTTTCTCTTCCTGGAATGTCTCTGCTTGTCTTCCAAGCTTAGTACGTTCTTATTCATCGTGACGACTTACCCCAGTACCACCCCCTCAGTGAGGACTTTCTGGCTTTCAAGGAACAGCGGTGGTCAGAGGCCCTCTGCTCTCTGCCCCGTCACACCGTGTGCTGTGTGCACATCTCCCACGTCAAGGGGCACCCAGCAGAGCAGGCACGCATCTGTAGCTATTTACCGTTGGTTCCACCCAGACACACTTGGCCAAGGCGGCTGCTCTGTCTCAGTTCCCTCATTTTGTAAGGTAAGAATTTGGATCACGCCGGAATGCTTTACAAATTCTTTTTTTTTAGACGTGGGTTTTGTTGTGTCTTACATCTGAGCTCTGAACTGCGGCTCTTGTGAGTTCTCAGGAGAGAAACATTAACTAATGAAACCGTCACACAATCTACCTCTTCCATCCCTGTTCCCGTCACGGCTCCCTCGGGTTGTCTCTTTTCTACCGTGCGTCGTAATGAGAGCACTTGCTTTTCACCCGAAAGCTCTGCAGCCTTTTATCTTCCTCAGAAGGTAAGTGGAGTCCTTATTCTAATGGCCCACAAGATGACCATCTGACCGCATCTCCTATTACTGAGCTCCTCGTTCCCTCTGCGCTAGATATGTGGGTCTCCAGGCAGCTACTTGAGCATGCTGGGAACAGGACCCTCTCCAGGCTTTGTTCCGTAGTCCCTCCACCTTGAAGACTCTCTCCCCAAATATCCATGTGGCTTCAAGTCTCTACTCAAATGTCATCTTAAGCAGGGAGGCCTCCCCTGATACTCGACATAAAACAGCAAAGCTCTTTACGGCACTCCCCCCCCCCCCCACGCCCTGCCACTCCTCATCAGAGCCTCTATTCCCAGGCTCCTTCTCTGTTTATCATGACCTGGTGGTTTCTTACAGTACAAGCCCTGGGGTTGTACTGTAAGAAAGCAGTGTCTTCTGCCCGCTGCTGTTTCTGAAGTTAGAATGCAGCCCCACACGCTCTAAGGCACCTACTGTTAAGTAAGTAAGGAAATAGCAAATTAAAACCTTATTTGTACAATGCCACCTTAAACCTGAAAACCCAAAGACGGCAAACGATCCATAACTTGCATCATTTTGAGAGTGGAAAGCTCACTTGGCAATAGGAAACTGTCACTTCTACAACGCTCAGGTCAGTCCACCACGAAAGGAACTGTGTGCCTACAAATCTGCTTCAGTTTGTATCATGCTTGCAGATAAATAATCCATTTACTGGGTATCAACTTACGTTTTAAAGCATGGGTCACCAGACATCAGCTGCATACTGATCAAAACCTAAACAAAAGAGCAACAAATGCCACAATTACAAAAGACTTCTCGGGAAGCCAGCTTTTGCTAATCCGTATTTCCCCCGTGACAACTAGTCTTATTTATATTGTCTATCTAGAAAGCATTAAGTGAAATGAATGTTTAATGAGGGTGTGCCCAACATTCAATTACTGCTTTATGCAGACAAGGATTAAAAATCATCTCTAATGTTCAAAACCTCGTGGAAAAGATAAAAATAAAAAGTAAGCACTTCCCCAGCGATACCCGTTCCCTGGCATGCGTCTGTGTTTACTCCAGATTCCTGTGGGGTGTAAATATTTGATAACCAGGCCCTCCAGCTCCACAGGCTGAGGCTTCATGGGATATCTGCTCGGAGCTCTAAAGGGCAGAGGGCCTCTGCACCAGCTTTGACCTTTTCTTTCTGAGATGCTGATATTCCCTGGTTGCTAAGGAACTTTTAAGAATCCACCACAGGACAATCCCACTTTTTTTTTTTCCCCTGAGGGAGTCTGGCCTCGAATTCACTGTGTGTCACGGGGTGGTCTTAAACTTCGCCCTTTCCTCCTTCCTGAGTGCTGCAATCCCAGGCATGTGCCACCGTACCCTTTATGTGGCAATAGTCCCTGCCCCAAATTCACATACTTAGGGGAAAAATAATAATAATGACGTTCACAATGATAGTGACTTGAGAATTTATTTTGTTTTGGCTCTTTGAGAGAATCTCAGTATTCCAGGCTACCCTCAAACTTGCTTTGTAGCCAAGGATAACCTCAAACTTAAGATCTTCCTGCCTCAGCCTCCTAAGTGCTGGGATTATACATATTAAGCCCCCACTTGGCTGGATTTGGGAACTTATGTTCCAGATATAAACATGTGTTCTATACACATCATCTCATTATACACATGCACCACCACACTTGGCTGGATTTGGGAACTTAGTTCCAGATATAAACTACATGTCCCATCCACATCATCTCACTTCCATCTTTAACACTCCCATGAGAGAGTCACATTCTCCTTTTGAGACCACAGAGATTGGGGGATAGTTTCTGAATCACAGCTGGCATAGGGCAGAACCCAGGACCAGGCTTACTGAGTTCATAGTCTTAATGACCAACAGGACACATACAGGTCATGGCACATTTTCCAGCTAATGTTTGACAGGCATCTTTTACAACCTTACTCACTCACACCTCTTTACCCAGGACCTCCACTGTGGTCTCTTTTTTACTTTATTTTTTCCTTAACTCTCAGACCTATCCTGTTGCGCTGGTTCTCTCATTGCGTCTTCTGTCACGCGATCCTCCCATCTGGTTTCTAACTCTCCAAGACAGCACTTGGGGCTGTCTGAACGTCTTGGGATGGAGGAAATTATGTAGTGAGGCAGAGCAGAGAAGTGGGGCTGAGATGAGAGGTGGGAGGCTGAGCTCTGGTCTTAAGATATGGGGGGACACCGCAGCTGTTTCTTTGGATGTTGACAAGGATGGTTCATTAAAGGGAGAGATGACCAAGAGCAGATGAACCAAGAAAAAAGTCTTTGATTATGCCTGCGTGGAATCTAGAGCCCAAGAGGAAGGACTGACTTCTCACAGGAAGAGGGTCATGTCTTCCCTTAACCATGGGCAAGGCAGCAGGCATGCACTGCAATAACAGGGGAGACAAGAAGAACTGTAAGTTCTATGCTGGGGTGATGAGAGGATGTGAGTTTAATGAGTTCTATTTCTTCAATAAAGGAGAAGCTTAGCCAAGGTAAAACATGGGGTATGAAAACACATTGAGAAAATAGGCAGGAAGGCGACTGTCTAAATTGGGACAGGAGGCAGAGTACGGCTGCCAGCTGGAGGTGAGCCCGATTTCAGTAATGCCCACTCATCTGTGTGTCCTCCAGCAACGTCCAGCTCAGGACACAGACTCAAACCAGGTGGGACTGCAGATCTCCAGGGACAGCAACAGGCAAAGGGACCCGGAGTAGGATATCAAGTAGGATAATCATGAACTGTGCACTCTAAGCTACGTAAGGGGGAAGCAGAAGCAAGTGAGGCCTGGGAGATCATGAGAAAGGGGCAGGGTTGAAGACAGCTGTGTGAGATGACCGACAGGGCTGGGAACATAGGGGATGGTGGCAGGAGAGGGGAAACCACCTAAAATTAAAAAACTATTTCAGGGGGACGTGACTTGATGGGTAAAGCATTTGTCACAAAGAAGAGGACACACACACACACACACACACACACACACAGGCATGCACACACAAAAGCAGCATGGGTTATTTGTTTTTTAATGTAAGAAACATATAATGAACAGTATAGTCAGTGGGTTTTGAGACTGGGGTTAGAGGGCATGATAATGTGAAAAGGCCACGGAACAGCAGATACGCATGTTGGTCTCAGCTCTGTCATTCACTACTTCTCTTACAGAAAACACCTAGCCTTCTGAGACTCATTATAAAACATGGATTTTTATCTGTGGTGGCCCCCATAGACTCCTGTGTTTGAATGCTTGGCTCATAGGGAGTGGCACTATTAGGTGTGGCCTTGTTGGAGGGAGTGTGTCACTGCGAAGGCAGGCTTTGAGGTCTTATAAGCTCAAGTCTGGCCAGTGTGACGGTCTCCTTTTGCTGTCTGCGAATCAAGAGGTAGAACTCTCAGCTCCTTCTCCAGCACCGTGTCGGCCTACATGCTACCATGTCCCACCATGATGACGATGGACTAAACTCTTGAAACTGCAAGCCAGCCCCAACTAAATATTTTCCTTTATAAGAGTTGCCATGGTCATGGTGTCTCTTCACAGCAATAGAAACCCTGATTAAGACACCATCTATCTAGACCTGCCAATCTCACAGTAGGGGGATATGTGCAAGTGCCCTGAGATATTTTCAGAGGTATATAACAACGAAATCAAATCAACTTGAAGTTCATAGGATGGTGCTCTTTTAATTTCCTCCCTTGGTTTGTTTGGTTTGGTTGAGACACAGTTTCTCTGTGTAGCCCTGGCTGTCCTGGAACTCACTTAGTAGACCAGGCTGGCCTCGAACTCACAGAGGAGTGCTGGGATTAAAGGCGAGTGTCATCACTGCCCGGCTCCTACCTTGGTTTTCAAGACAGGGTCTCATGTATCTAAGGCTGGCCTTGAACTTCTGATCATCCCTGCCTCCATCTCCAAAGTGCAATAATCATAGGTGAGTACCACCATACCTGACATTTCCTCATCTTCTTTATCATTTTTCTCTCCACATCAACTGCCCATCCCACCTTTCTTAAAGCTGCTGATGTGTGTAAGGGATGTCCGCCTCTAGGAACCAGTTCAGAGATTCCTCTATCTCCAGAGCTAAATATTCACTGAAAACAAAGCTTAAGCTGTAGTTATAAAGTAATTCTTCACTTTCCTAGCTTTGGAATAAAAACCATTTGGTTTTTAAATATCTGTCTTTCTTCTTATTAGGTAACTTACTAATTAAGTAAAATGTAGCAAAGATTCTCCTGCGTACAAGACATTTTCTGAATATTTTTCGACACCAATGGGTGTCATTTAACATTTCCATCAACTTCATGAAGCATGCATTCTCTGTGATTTCCTGAACACATGGCCCCTGATGAGATTTGGAGAAATAAGGCAGAGATGTCCTTGAGTGGGTCTGCCTGTCCTGTCACTTCACTAGTTACAAGAGAAGCCAGTGACTTCTACATACACATCACAGCTTCTCTGGGAGTTCTCCTGAGGTGTGTGTGTGTGTGCGCGCGCGTGCGCGTGCATGTGCATGGGGGCAAATGTGTGTGTCAGTGTACAGACCAGTGCACACACAACACCCAGAGGAGGGCATCAGAAGTCCTATCATTTTCAACCTTATTCCTTTGTGGCAAGGTCTCTCCCTGAGCCTGGAGCTTGATTTTACAGCCAGGTTGACAGCCATCAAGCACTAGTGAACTTTCTGTCTCCACTCCCCACATCACTGGGGTTACAAGCACGAGCAGAACTAGCTCTGGCTTCTTCCATGTACTGGGATCTGAACTCAGCTCTTCAGGGTTGTACAGCAAGTGCTCCTAACTACTAAGCTGCCAGCTTTCCAGCCCTGATAGCTGTACAGATTTCAAGCCACGCATCTAACCATCATGTCCCCTCTCCCCAGCAAGCACTTCTGTTGCAGTGGTGGTGTATTTGTTCACAGCACCGATGAGAAACACACTGGACCATAAAGATGATCATTATTGTTCACGGCTCCTATGGCTTGGAAGGGTCTTTCCCTGGTGGTGTGGAGGCTCATAACCTCAGTATGGAGTCCCATTGTATCTATGACAGCAGATACCTGTGCTTAGCTGGAGGCAGAAAAAAATCTCTTTTATTGGCATGGAAGTCTTGAGGAGTGCTTACTTTAAGAATGGAATTGTCCTGTCTTGTATTTTTGGTATCATAGCCTTCCAGTAAACAGCGACGGGTGGTATTTCCTGATCCAGCAAACTCCGCCAGGTTTAGATCTGCAAAGCCCAGCTATGAAAAGAAAGAGAATCATATTAATAGACCATCTAGCAGGCTCTATCATATCTCCTTGAAATAGACATTCAACCGTTGAGTTTTCTCAAAGCTCTCAGTTCTTGTTGTCGTACGATGACCTGCGTTGCCATTTGCTTTACACAGGTCCTTAGTTGCTTTTTAATAAAAATCCACTACTTATCTCATCTTTTACCATGGATTTGATGGGCTGTGCTGAATACATTTCTGTACGCATTAAAGTAAACATAGGACTGTGATAGTAAAATTAAGGACTTTGAAAAGCAAAATCACTCGGAGTAACACTTACACCCCCATCGCCTGTGGGGAGAACAAGCGGTCCCGACTCTGACTCCGCTATTCTGGATCCTCCCTGTGCTGAGTTAGCCACGGGGACCGCAGTTCCTGACAGGTTAGGTTCCCACTCTCCCCACACTCACAAGAGGACTCAAGTGAGCCTCCTCGCTTCTTGAGGAGGGGCACCTCTTCCTCTCTCCCTTCCTGCCAATCTGCCTTCAGCTGAGTCTCTTCGTGGAAGCTGCTTCCCTTGCTCACGGTTCTGTCTCACACCTACCCTCCCTCTCTGCTCCTCCCCGGAAGTTCAGTTAACTTGTTCCTCTTCCACACTACTACCCAGAAATGCCACTTCCTGCCGGCATCAAAGCTGGCTCTAGTCATTCCTCTGATGCTGCTTAACCCGGATCCCCTGTTCAAGTGTACCCCTACATCATTGTCATTTTAGCAGTCTACTCCCACATAACTGTGTACAATTGCTGTGAACAAAAAAAGTGAATTACGCACATCTCTATGAACATTAATAAACTGTATGATATGCTTCAAACATTGATGAGTTTGTTGGCTTCAAGGCTTTTTTTTTTTTGGTGTGGATAATGTATGTGTATGTATGTGTATGCACAGGTATGCACATCCAACAGCAATGTGCAGAGGTCAGAGGACAAGCTCAGGCTTTGGTCTTCCCCTTCCACTGTGCTAGAGGCAGGGCCTCTTTGTTGTCGCGGCTGTACTGTGTCAGGCTAGCTGGCCTGCAGGGATTCTCGTCTTCAGGTCCCAGCTCACTGTAGCACAGAGATTCCGGGTTCACACATTCTGAGGCTCTAAACTCAGGTTTTTACACTTGTGCAGCCAGCTTTGTCCACATGAGCCATCTCTCTAGACCACTTTCAGGGGCATGCAAGAGGATGGCTTTAATTGCAGACTGGAGCATTATTTCAGTAGGGTTTTAAAAATTAATTATTAATTGTTTTGTTTTTACATCCCAATCACAGTATTCCCTCCCTCTAATCCTCCCAGTCACCCCCCTCTTCCCATCTCCTCCTCCTCCACTTCTCTTCAGAAAAGGGCAGGCCTCCCATGGACATCAACCAAACATGGTATATCAAGTTGCAGCGAGGAGACCGGGCACCTCCTCTCCTATTAAGGCTGGATGAGGCAACCTGGTAGGAGGAAAGGGTCCCCAAAGCAGGCAACAGAGTCAGAGACAGCCCTGCTCCTCCTATTTCAGTAGTTTTTAACTGATAGGAAAGAATAAAGATAATGGCTCAGAGAATTATGTAAGCCCAATGTAGTAAGTCAGGCGCACAGCAAGACACAGGCAACCGCTGCCTGGTTTTCAGGGTCAGCCCGGTCTTCCTGCCTTCCAGTGGGGCAGCACAGGGGGAGGCCAGGGTAGGTCCATGCAGACACATCCGAGTGAGCATGTGAAGACACGTGTGACTTACATGATCACTGTTATTAACACATGCCATTCCACACACTCTCTCCCCTTTAACGCTCCGGCACTTCTTCCGGTCTCGTCCCCCTGCTGATGGCCTGGCTGCCTTTCACTCAGGAAGTGAGGGCGGTCAAGAGCACCTAACTTCCATAAGCTCTCGCTGCCAGACGCAGCCCCTCTCCCGCTGCGCCGGGGCCTAAACTAGACACCTGATGTTCAGTGTTGACCAAGAATAAGGTCATTACAGAAGGGAAGGGGATAATGGATTCCTGACCACATTCTTTATTAGTCAGTGGATTAACCAATTCTGGAGTAGCAATATCTCATATCTACTTGGTTTGTGCCATCAGTAAGCTATAACTTCATGAAAATCAGGGAACATTCTCTAGTAGGGAGGCTAAGACAAAAAGGTAACAGCCCCTAACAAGCTCTCAGAATATTCTGTTTTTTTTTTCTTTAAAAAAAAAAAAAGAGATTCATTTATTTTTCTTATGTGTGTGGCCATTTTGTCTGCATGTATGTCTGTGTACCATGAGCATGCAGGGCCCGAAGAGGCCAGAAGAGGGGTTTGGGTCCTCTGGAATGGGAGTTATAGAGTTACAGTCACATTTGTGTGCTAGAAAAGAACCTGGGTCCTTTGGAAGAACTGCCAGTGTTCCTCACCACTGAGCCATTCTCCAGCCCCCCAAAAGAATGTTGTAACACTTTATTGTCCCAATTATTCAACCTCCAACTTGCTTTACTTAAAATGAGTCAAGTTTGAGTAACAATTAAAAGCCTACAGACTACAGTAACGATGTTCTGAATTACAAAAAGAGTTAGAGAACATCTACTTACCTTTGCATAGGCTTTACCACCTTTTAATTCCTGCAAATACAGAGAACACCATGAGGACACTGTATGACGAAGGGAGGATTTAAGATTAAATGTAAGTCACAGGATTCTAAAGCAGACATTTATATGCTAGTGTATGTCACAGAAAATAAAAATAGGCCAATTTTAAATCCATCTATTCAAATCAATAACAGCATCCTAAAAATTATCAAAATTTTTACTTTGCTTCCAATTTTATTTCTTTAGTCAGTTTTTGATATGGAATCTCTTCACATTGTGCAGACTGGCCTTGAGCTCCTGGAGCTCAAATATCTTGCCTCAGCTTCCCTCAGCCAGGGCTCTGGGCCACATTTTTGAGTTTAGGACAGGGCACATCTGTGAGGACTAAGTGTAAGCACTTAGAACAATGTGTGCCCACACTGTGAACTCGGTTTCCTTCTATTATCATGGACAAAATTCCGTTCTCTCAAACAGAGATGAAAAACATCTTTACTGAGAGAACTGTTGCTTATTTTTTGCAAGTCTGATACTGAAGCGTTTTATCTACCACTTCTACCTTGCAACAGTCTCCAGGGAGCTCTGTTATTACTTATGAACGCCGGCTGCTCTTTCCCTTTCCTGCCACCATTTCTATTCCATATGAATTATCAGAATGTCTTCTTCACTGGGCCACTTCACATCCCTTAACAGTGCCATTCTTAAACACAAGGAAAAGTCCTCGAGGGGTTCCTTTGTTCCTCAACATGATTATTTTCATTGCTGTTCCTCTATGGTCAAAATTCAAAAGACTTCTGATTGCTGGGGACTGGGAGGAATGGAGGGAGGGGAAACTGAGGTCCAGATGTAATGTATGAGAGAAGAACTGAAAAAAAAAAAACCATTCAAAAGACATCAGCCTCTACCTGCTGCATTCTGTTCTACTCAACCTTCTCAAACTGGATTTGTCCTCATTTCCCCTCTCTAGTAGCTCAAGATTCCTAACGATCTTCATTTTGTTAAAGCTAAAAGCTCCCTGTCTCCATCTTAGCCTCTCATCCGTGTGTGATGGGTTTGCCCACTTACCTCCTTTTCCCCATCACTTCCCTCTTTAGACCTTCCTGATGCCACATCTGCCTCGTTTCCCTTCTGCTTCCCTGGCTGCTGTTCCTCCCGCCTCCCCTCTCCTGCATCCACGCCTTGATTTAGCTTCTGCAGAAAGAATGCTAGCTGTACCTTAAGTATTTGCTCTTGCTGTCCATGTCACAGAATCCTGTACTTTTAGTTGGGTATCTGGTTGCCCCTAATATACCATCTCTGGTAATAGTCAAAACTACTACCCCCAAACTTAAGCATTTCTACTTTGAGATATCAAAGCCAACTTTTCCACCATAGCAGCAGCAGCATGGTCTTATAAAAGATCATGAGTCTCCTTATTAAAATCTGCCAATGAATCAGACATGGTGGTCTACCTATACTCTCTGCACTTGGGAGGTAGAGGCAGGAAGATCATGAGGTCCCTGTCCCAAAAACCAACTAACCAACCAACCAACCAACCCACCTAACCAACCAACCAACCAACCAACCAACCAACCAACCAACCAACCAACCAACCAGAAATGTGCTGGGGAGACACAGCTGGGTTGGAAACAGTGCTTGTTGTAGAGTATGAGGCCTACATAGTTCAGACGCCCAGCACCATTTAAAAAGCTAGGTGTGGCCACATGTGCCTGTTACCCCAATACTGGGGTGGGAGCAAAGAGCAGAGATGTCTCCTCAACTTTCTAAGCCAATCGCTCTTTCCTAAATTATTCTCTGTTTCCCCATGTTTTTTTATGTGTGACATTTATCGGTATTAAACTAAGTTTAATTTGATAAACTCTGCTTTCTGTTACCCAATTCTCACCAGAGAGTAAAATGTAAGAGGTCTCAACTTGGTTCCAGTTCATTCATCTTCCCAGACTCCAGAGCAGTATGTGGCACATGGATGGCACTAACAGAGTTATTGACTGGTGACTGCTTCCCTGTGTCTAGGCAACAGGGTTCACTACCAAACTGGTCTTTATCAGATCTGTAGATAAAAATGGCGTCTATCTGTAGTTTTAATTTGCCTAAGACTGGGTATATTGTACGTCTGAAATACTTTCATTTGGGGGGGGGCAGATTGTCAGCTGTCACCTTCCCCTAAGTGCTGTTGACTCTTTTACACTGTGTAGAGGTGCTCTTTCTATATTCATCAGGTTTTTTGACATGAGTCACAAGTAGCTTCCCCTAATTTGTGACTTTGCTTATGACTCCCCTCCCTTCCCCGCCCCGCCCCCACAATGGTCAACATGTTTAAATAGATGAGATCTCTGACCTTTCCTTTATACAATACTCAGGGAAGGTTACGTAGAACAGACTTGCATACTATGCTGCCTTGCATACTCAAGTACAAACAGAAGACCACTGGTGATCCACCAGCCTCTCTTCTGACATGTTAGAACCTACTGGCCAACCAACTATGGCCTTTCCGTTTGATGTGGCCACACAACTAAGTTTTAACCAGAGGGATGTGTACAAAAGACACATGCACCCCTTTTGTATCATGTCTGTCCCTATGTCACCAGTCAAGAGAGAACAAGACTGGAGCTGCCCCCTTAGATCTAAAGATGGAACCATATGCTAAAGATGGCGGAGCTACTATCTTTATCTCAGGTTCCGAAGCAACTTCTATACCATTTTGTTTAAGCCTTTGACTTCTGGGGTCTGTTTTAGCAGATTAACATACATATTTTGTGCTGGTTAGTTTCTCAACTGGGGAAATACCTCCATCAGATTGCCCATAGACAGGCCTATGGGGGCATTTTCTTGATTAATGATTGATGTATATGTGTGTGTGTGTGGGGGGGGGGCTATGGCTCAGCTCACTTCGGGTGGTGCCACCCTGGGCTGAGGTGTATAAGGAAGCAGGCTGAGCAAGGCACAGGGAGCAAGCTTGTAAGCAGAGTTCCTCCATGGCTTCTGCTTCAGTTCCTGCCTCTAGTTCCCGCCCTGACGTCTCTTCACGCTGTACGCTGTAAGACTAAATAAACTCGTCCCTCCTCAAGTTAGTTTGGCCATGGTGTTTATCACCGCAAAAGGAAGAGAACATGTCCTAATGAATATGCCAAAGCCCTATAAAATGAGAAAGGGTTGATTTGAGGTATGACCTAGTACAACTGGTACTTATGGTCTCTGTCGGCTTTCCTAGAGTTTGAGCTCATTTAATTTGTAGTCAGGCTTTACTCTAAGCTGGTTATATATATATTTTTTTCCCTTAAAATCCAAAGACTAGCTCACCGTCCTTCAAGCATCATGATTAGAACTCCATTCAGAAGGGTTTCAATGAAAGGGCGGCAGAGTCAGAGCAGCAAGGTGAAGTTGGCTTCATTTTGTTAGCTAATCTCGACATTCACGAAGAATCAGGGAATAACGCCTTATTTGGATGTAGAGATTTAAAGTCATGATTGCCTAAGGTCTGGCAGTCGGTAAGGGGCATGCTTGGGGCTCGAAGGCAGGCTGGTATAACTGCATGTCTGCCCTCGCTGTACCACACTTCCTCTGCAGAAGCCTCCACTCAGTTACGATTGCTCCAAACAACTATTTTCATAAAGTCTTAAAAATTGTAACATCATTTCTGTACACATGTATTTGTTATATTCTGAGTGTATTAAGCAATATAAAAAAGGTTAGAATAAAGCCATGCACATCATACTGCTATCAATTCATTCAAAACATGGGATAACAAATCTAAGAATATAGCTTTTTAATCGGATACGGAAAGATGCAGGACCAGAGTGGGAAAGAGCGAAAAGACTTACATTTCTCATCCTAAGTCTTTATCTTTGCCAACATATACATGTACTCTGATAACTTAAAAAATATATATTTTTTTAATATATAAAGCTGGGCAGGGTAGCATGCCTGTAATCCCAATACTTGGGAGGGAGAGACAAGGAGGATCATGTGTTTGAGACAAGTCCAGGCTACAGGTGAGTTCCAGGCTGGCTTGAGCTACAAAATGAGCCTGTTTCAGAAAGAATCGGGGGGAAAAGTGTATACAATGTAAAATGCACAGTTGGGTTTTTATTTTTCAAGGCAGGGTCATGTGTCATAGCCTAGACCGGCCCTAATTTGCCCCTGAAGGGGGGAGTGGGGAAAAATAAAGTCCAGCTCCTAGCTGACTGGTTGGGGAGATACTGGAATTTGAAAGCTACTGGGAGAGGGACAGTCAGTTTTCTTTAATGATGCACCACACTCCAGGACCGACCCCATTCCCCAGAGCAGGTGGCCAATAGAAACTGAACTGGATTGAAAAAATAAATGAAAAGAAACCTTAAAGTCAGTGGGTAGGGCAGTGAGGGTGGAAAGGGAGCGTGTGTAGCAGTCGGGAGGCGTGTAAGTATGCTCAAAATACATCGTACGAAATTTTCAGAGAATTTTATGAAAATATTATTTTAAAAAAGTTAAAAAAGTAAAGAGTAGGAATTGATAAATGACAGGCTACAGACATGGACACTCCCAAACGACTCCAAATGCGGGTAACACTCATATGTACAGTATTTCTGAGAAGAAAGTTTTTTTTTTTTTTTCGATTCTTGAGTAACAACCTCAGGTTTGCCACCAGATTTTCCATAGACATGTAATTTATTGCTGTAAGCGTGGAGTTACAGCTCTACCGTTAAAGCAGATCTAAATAAAGTGAGTCAGTGAGTGCAGCTAATTACGGTTTCTGAAAGAGGAGGAATAATAGGCTATTTTTATACCTTCCGTACAGACACTCTGTAGATACAAGGATCCAGGATGCCAGTGGAGGCACTGGCACTCATTTTGCACATAAATGAGAACTTCTTTCTCCAGCGAACACAGTTTGCTTGCACCACCTCCCTGGATAGGGAAAAAAACAAAAACCGAAGAGCCAATTAATTACTATGTGAAAAGCACTCTCAATTTCACTCACGTCTACAACACGAAGTTATATAGATGTCAGTATTTGCAGGCGCTGAGAGACGGCGCAGGGCGTAAAATACCACTCCACAACACAGGACTGGGGTGTGGACCAAGTAAAAGTCAGGCGCCTGCCATCCCACCATTTGAGAGACAGGGACTCCCTGGAGTGAGCTGACTAGCCAAACTAACCAAAAACGGCAGGCTCTGGGTTCAGCTAGACAGCCTGACTCTACACATGAGGAACAGAGCATCTCAGGGTACCACGTGCCATCATGTTGGGCTTCCACACTGAGCATCTCAGGTGCCACCTGCCACCATGTTGGGCTTCCACACTGAGCATCTCAGGTGCCACCTGCCATCATGATGGGTTTCCACACTGAGCATCTCAGGTGCCACCTGCCATCATGTTGGGCTTCCACACTGAGCATCTCAGGTGCCACCTGCCATCATGTTGGGCTCCCACACTCAAGCACACACAGGAATACATATCAATTCATCAAGCCAGTATTTGCAAGCAGTGGAACAGGAATAATTGGCCACTAGAAATGCAAAGTAGTTAATTTACTCATCAATCAGTTTAAAGTGACTCTTCACCACCCATTCAATGTATATTACTTTCTGTGTGTTGGGTACACGTCTAAATGTTTAAAATACAAGATGAAGGGCAGAATTCCTAACCTTGTAGGACTAACCTTGTGCAAGAGACAGAAATACACACAAATACTCTTAAGTTTCTCTCTATTTTAGCAACGTGAACTACCATTTCAGAGTTCACAACGTGATGCTTTAATCTCACACCAACTCTAGAATGCAGCTGGCCTTTCCCTCAAGGCACATACCAGGAATTTAAGCACAGGAGGGGAGTTAAAACCACGGTTATTTAGGTGGTGAGTGCAGGTATCAGGCGCAAGCCAAGCCCATTTAACTCTGAAGCCCTTCGTCCACAGCCCTGACTGCTGTTTTTCCAACAACTTTCCTCTTTCAAGTTTCCTGACTTTTGTACAAGCTGTTCTCTTTACTGTTCTGTGTAGGTCCAAGGGACTTAGCCTTAGAAAGCAAACATAATTATTCTACTTCCAGAAGAAGAGAGACAATGGGGGTAGGGTGGTGGTCATGAATGTACAAAATGGATAAAGCAAAGAATGAATGTTCTCTAGATTTACTCATCAGTCCACTTAATAGAGGCAAGAGAGCATTTTTTTTTTTTTTTTTTTTAGACAGGGTCTTATTATATAGTTCTGCTGGCTAGAACTCACTATGTGGACTAGGTTGGCCTTGAATTTCAAGAGATCAACTTGCCTCCTAAGCACCTGGCCTCAATATTTGTATTAATTCTTGAGAATTTCATACGTACATATAAAATGTATATTGATCATATTCACTCCTCCCCTCCACCCGCTAATTCTTCCCACATATCACATCTATTCCTACCTCCCAACTTCATGTCTTTTTTAAAAAAATAACCAACTGAATCCAGTTTGTGCAGCTCATACACTCATGGGTGTAGGGTTCATCTTGAAGCACAGATGACCTACCAGGAACCATAGCCTTAAAGTAAACGAACACCCCATGTCCCAGAAGTGGCACCCCTGGCTCCTCAGGGGATCTTGAGTCCTTCCCCACTCCATTCTCGGATGTTGACTGGCTTGATTGTGCGCAGGCAAACAGAGCTGCGGGGAGCTCAAGATGGCAATCGTCCTGTCAGACCAGAAACCGCTGTTTCTGCCCAGTCCTCCTCGGCCTCTGACTTGCAATCTCCTCATCTCCCCACCCCTCCTCTGTGATGGTCCCCAGAGCACAGATGTGATGAGGCTGACTTTTCTTAAGAAAGCACACAGCTGGATCACTTCTCTGGGGCAACAGAGACTGATGAGTGAGATCAACAATTTAGATAAAGGTTGGAGAAAAGGACAAATAGGGTGAATGCAGTGGTGTGGCAACTTTTAGCTGCCTCTGCGAATAAACGGATGTGTATTAAGATCACTGAGTTTGGTTTTATAAATAAGCAAACTTTTAAAACGCCCAGAAAAAATCATGAAAATAATAATAAAAAAACCCCATAGGATTTTAAATTATTGTTTCCCTCTCAGCATCACTGGGTCCCAAGACTTGAAGGCATCAGCCATGTGCCTGGAGCTCCCAAGAAAGGCAGGCAGATATACTGGTGACCTGGGGCCTTCAGGAATTCGAGATTGTTCCTGTCACTAACACCACTGGTGCGGGATCAGCTATCAAGAACAATATTTTTTGTTTGGTTTGGTTTTTTCGAGACAGGGTTTCTCGGTATAGTTCTGCCTGTCCTGGAACTTGCTCTGTAGATCAGGTTGGTCTCGAACTTGAAGATCTGCCTACTTCTGCCTCCAGAGTGCTGGCACTAAAGGTGTGTGCTACCACCGCCCGAAAAATATTGTTCTAAATATTTTTTAAAAAGCATGCTAGTTTATTGCCCTTAGAAAATATAAACTTCTAGCTAAAGATAGCTTTAACTTTCTCAAACTTATCAATTTTTTTTAAAGGCCACATCTCAGAGGAAGACCAAAACGAGTATTCAGGGACAGACAACTGGTAGTTAATTTAGCAACCAAAGAAATCTGAACCTGACACTGTTAACGTTGAAAGCCAAGAGTGGAATTTTAAATTGGTTCTGAAATAAAATGAAGGAAGGACCAAAGGTAGAGGGCCGATTGAAAGCTGTTTTAGAAGCGGCCAGACCCTGACTCCTGCAGGAAGCTCAGCTTTATGCTCCTGATAGGGGGAGCAGATGACTCTCTGGCCTATGTGACCCCAGGGCAGGTCTCAGCGGCATGACAGAATAGTGAGCGGAGGAGAGGAAGATGAATGGGCACTGGCCCTTCTTCTCCAGCTAGCTCCGGCAATGCTGGAAACACGCACGGATTCATCGGGAAAATTCTAATGAGATGGACACTAAGGTGCCCAACAAAATGGTCCAAGCCATCTCAGCCTGTAGTAAAAACCCAAGATGCCAAGCACCCTCCATCTGCACAGAGCTTCACCAGCTTCAGAGCTGCAGTTATATCTAGGCTGGCATGGTAGGAGAAGCTCTTACCAGGAAAAACAGATCAAAATGAACAGAAGAAAAAAAAAAAAGCAACTTCAACCAAACTTCCAGTTGGTGCTGGAAGAAGAGAAGTTTTCAAATGAAAACAAATTATGGGCTGGAGTGATGGCTCAACCCTCACAGTTGTCCTTTGCCATCCATTTTCACACTCAGGCACATGCACGCACGCGCACACATGTACACGCACAAATACATGTAATAAGAAAAAGAAATCACATCGACTACACAGGACTAACATGGTATTTAAAACAGCAACAAGATCACAGGCCCCTAAAACATGTTCATGGAAACCAAACTATTGCGCTGGACCTTCCGTTTGTCGCTTTGGACTCCCTCTACCTCTCTCATAGCCCAGAGGCCAGCCTTCATGGACTGCACAACCAGGCTTCCTGATGACTAGCTCTTACCCTGCAAAAGGAGCAGCATGAGGGGAGGGGAGGGGGAGGGCTGTGGGCAGGAGCAGGGAGAAAAGACGAGACGTTCAATCTCCCGCATGTTCCCTTCTTAGGTGTATCAGAAACAGATAGATGTTGGGGACTGCAGTTTTCCCAAGGGCTTGGTATGTAGGCTTTGAACTATGAACATGTTAACCTTTGTTAAAATAAGAACTGGAAAACTGAGAATATTACTAAGTACTGAAAAATCTCAAAACGGAAGGAAGTTACACATGGGAGAGCCAGTACTGTGACCCACGCCTGTAATCTCAATACTCAGAAGGAGACTGAAGGAGGAGGAACACAGTTGGACACCAATTTGGGCTAGACTCCAAGACCATCTTTAAAAGAAAAGTATTTAACACTGAAAGCCATTATTTCTAATTGTTTTAAGTTTTCACCTGGTGAATATTCTTTGTTGTCTAATATACGAAAATCCAATAACCTCATTTGGGCCAACTTCCTGTCACTACCCTCCATTTCTGAGTCAAATCAACTTCCAAAGAGAAGAGGCTTCCTTCGGGGTTTTGGTCTGGGACTGACTGGCTGGGTCGCTCTGGGTCTGCGGCAAGGCAGCCTAGCGTAGTGGGAGTGTGAGGTGGAGGAAAAGTCCCTCCCTTCACAGCTAGGAAGCAAACCGAGGGAACGGGCCAGGAATACGGAATCCCTTTGGGAGCATGGTTCCTAATGACCCTAAGTACCCCCCATTTGGCTCCATCTCTTAAAGGTTCCATTACCTCCTAATAGCACCACGCTGGGAACAAGCCTTTACCACATGAACATCTGGGTCCAAATTACAGCTGCACCTTAAAATGTTACTAAGCTAAATACTCTAGGAATTATGTCAGAAATAAAAACCAAAGCACGAGTACTACAAAGCCCCCAAACCTTGGTTTATGTTTTGTAGCTTTTTGTTTGTTTGTGAAATATCAGTAATTTCCCAACTAAACTAATTAGAAACACACACTAGTTTTATTTTAAAATCTAGTTTAAAACACCCTTACAAGGTGGCATCTTTATAATGATTTCATGTACCAAATCTCATATGCTATCATTTGCACAAACAGAGGGCAGCTTCGGCCTGAGTAATGAAATTAAAGATACCAAGTGCACTCTGCACGTACCTGTTGTCCTTAGAAAACAATTAAGTGGGAAGTATTTCATATTTATCTAGTTTATCTAGAGGGTGGGAAACCAACAGGAAGTCTGGTAGACTCGGGAGGAACTAAGTTAGGAATAGCAATGTAAGTGTGGGCAGGGTTGTAGCATGTAAGGAATGGGTTTTAATAAAGATATTAGATCTTCCAGAGGAAAATATACTTCTCATTTCCACCTCTACCTGCTGACTTTCCCTTTAGTGAAAATGTCCACAGCAGTTGCTGAGTGCTTTCAATACACCAGAGCCTACACATCATAAACACTGT